GTAATGTTATACGTCCATTTCAGGTCTTGGGAAAGTATAGAGCCCAGGAACCTGAAGGACTCTACCACTGATACTAGACTGTTAAGTATAGTAAGGGGAGGAATAGGAGAAGGAATGCATCTGGAAAGCTCCAGTTGGGAAGACTAGCTCAGGCTGAGGAGGACAAGACTAGAAGGGGTGCAATATAAATGCATCATTTAACCACATGAAGGGCTATCACATAAGCCTTTGGTTCTCTGCTGCTTCGAAATGCAAGGCTACGTCTAACAGGTTTAAGATACAGTAGTTACGCTTTAAGAGAAACGTCTAGAGCAAGCATAGTTTCACAATGAACTGTCGACCTGCATGAGGTAGACTTTCCTGAGAAGGAGGTCTTCAGGCTATGACAGGACACCCATCTGCTGGGGTGTTATTCTTCTGGATTGCTTGTAGCAATTGGTGGTTGGATTAGACAGCCATTAAGGGTTTTCCACAACAGGAGAGGGAGAGGAAGAAGATGCACTGGGGCAGTTGATGTTCCTTGATCAATAGACTTGGTCAGACTGTTGTCCTTTCTATGACATTCTTCCTGAGAGACAATGGGTACACCTCCCACATGCCCTGCTATCTTGCAGCAAAGCCCAGGTTGTGTTCTCCTTCAGCCTGGAGGCTCAAGATATCTGTCAGTAACACCTGAGTATTATTTTTATCAGTTATGCTTCCATAGTTCCCTACTGTTGCTTTTTCATAGACCAGTGGAAGGGGGTGGTTTCCTGGAAATTAGGAAGTGTAGCATCCTTGTAGCTCTTCTGTGGCCCTTGGCTCTCCAGCAATAGACAAGGCCCAAACCTGAGGTCCAGAGGTGACTGTCACTAGGTGTAGGGCTCCTTTGGGGAAGGAGGAGCAAAGGAGCTCTTCCTTCCCTGGCCCACAGAGAGGGCCAAACTGGTCATCTTCTCATCAATCTCATCAAGTTCAATTATTTGCAGAGGACATCTCATGGGACTTGTAACCCCATCGCTAGTATGCAGCTATCTAGAAATAGAAGGCTTCTAAAGGATAAGTGTATGTGGTCTTTGGCAATACAGAAAAAGAAATAATCCTAAAAGTCCTAAAAGTGTCAGTAACTTTGTGTAAGTAAGTAAGTAAGTGGTACAGAAGTTGGAGTGCTGGGAAAGTGAACTGCCAAGAGGCACTTTCACAGGTAGCCATTGGTGCCACTCTGAGACACTCACAGATGCATGGCGCAATTGTCTTCTGATGCTCCCTTCAGCTATTGGCAGAAATTGGCAGTCACCTGGCCCCTGCCTCCCCCCCTCCCAACTTCATATTGTGTTTGTTTTCACAGCAATTAAAAAAGAAGAAGGTTGGCCCTCTTTAAACAGGCGGGCACAGCAGCCCTGTGGGGCCACAGCGCCTCAGCCCTGAAGGGCCAAGAGAATGTCGAGGAGCCAGGAAGAGCCTGGAGATGCCACCAATGGGAAGTCCACGCCCCAGGGTTGCATCTGCCAAACTGAGGGGTGGCCGTTCCTCTGGTGCCACGGAGGAGCCGGCTATGAATTGGCTCGTCTGCACAACCGTTTGGTCAGGTGGGTGCAGAACCGATTTCGGAGCGGTGCAGACACCACGTGCGGAAAGGCTTTTATTGCGCAGCAGCGGCTTCACTTTTGTCCCCCGAAGGTCGCCGCAAAGTTTGAGGAGGCCTCGCGTGAAGCAGCAAAGCGGGCTGAGCTCTGAACGTGTCCTTGGCTGCACCCGCTCGGTGGCTCAAGGTTGCTCAGCGGGAAGGGCCGAACTCGACCGTCACGAACCCCCGGAGAGAGTGCCCGGTTTTGGGGGCCGGCGGGGGCCGCAGTGGTCTGAGGGGTCCCGGTGCAGACCCGGCATCGGAAGCTAAGCCGGCCCCAGGCAGCCGGGGCTGGGCTCCTGATTCGGTGAAAGGCGGCGTCCTCCCGGTCGGAGCATCCTCGTCTCGCGGCCCGCTGCCCTGATCTTGCTCGGATCGAGGCCGCCCTCCCTGCGCTGGCAAGCGGCTCGGCGCCTGCACCCGCTCCGCCGCCCTCCTCGCCTTCGCCTTCTCCGGCTTGTGCTTTGCGGGGCCGCCGCTCAAGGAGCGCCCGGG